CAGGGAGTCTGCTTCTCCCTCTGACCCTCCCCCCTCTCATGTGCTCTCTCTCATTCTCTCTCTCTCAAATAAATAAATCTTAAAAAAAAAAAAAATCTCTAATTTAGAAAGGCTGGCATTCCATACCACTTTCAAGGCCCTTTTCCAGTAAAGGGCAAGAAAACAGGCATAGCTCTGAGAAAGACTTTGGTCCAGAGAATTGGCAGAAATTTTACAGACACTCTAAGAGGTATTTATAACAGTTAAAGTAACATGGTTCTCCTAGGTTGCATGTGGCCATCGAATTCCATGCATGAGGCCCGAACACAGAAGCATACTGTTTAAATACAAAATACACATAAATGCCGAGGTCCAAATTAAATCCACTACCAACAGTCACATGCTGAGCCCAGGCTTGCCTGATTTCTGCAATGGAACCACATTTCCTAATCCCTGAGTATTTGAAGGCTATATAAAGCTCCTTTAGGGGCACTTGTTTCCCACAACTCTGAGCTGCCGGTAAGTTAAGACAAGGGCATCTGGAAGCCTTAACGCCAAAACTGGAAGGCTTTAGGCTAACACCCTGATTAGAGATTAACTACTCTGAAAACCTGGAGCATATTTTAAATGCTTCCCGACTTTCTCATTTCTCTCTGTGCAGACATCACCTCAGCGCTGTATAAATTAGTCATACTGTAAGCTCTATTTTAGATGCCGTGTACAATACATATATAGAATGGCCCACAGCGGGGCTGGGGCTGTGCATGGACCCATTTGCTGAAGTCAAGTGGATTCAATGTTGCGCTGGTCTGATAACTGAAAACCCTCCAACCTTCCAGTAAAGGGCAAGGCCCTCCCCCTTAGGTGGTTTTCTGTTGAGGCAGCGTGAGCAAGGAAGGAGTGGGGTGGGTGAGTGGTTCCCGAAGCTGCCCAGGGCCAGGCGGGCTCTCCGTGCTTCCCACCTATCCCACGAGGGACGTCCTCACCTCCAGCTTGTCTGTCAGCTCCTTGTGCATCTGCTCGTACTGCCGGCTCATGTCCTGGTTCCTCTCGAGCAGCGCCTTGCCCAGCCGGGCCGCCAACACCAGATCCTTCTCCTTTTGCCGGATCACCGACAGCAGCTCGGGATCCTGGGGGGGTGGCGGCTGCAGTCCGGACCCCTCGGCCGGAGGCCCGACCTCGGCCTGAGAATGCTCCCCGGGGTCGGACGGCCGTTCCCCAGCCGCCAGCAGCGCCAGCTCCTCCTCTAACGCCAGTTCCAGCTCCCCGGGGCCCCCGGGGAAGGAGACGAGGGCAGTGGCGGCTGGACTCCCGACTGCGTCCGCGACCGCGGCGGGCAGCTCCATGCAGCAGGCGCTGTCCGGCTCGGCGGGTGCTGAAGCGCGGCCGGCCAAGCCCAGGCAGAAGGCGGACATGGCCCGCGCGCGCGGAGCCCGCAGCGGTGC